GGACCTCCACGGAGCCACTGCAGGGGTTGCTGCCATTCAGCAAACGAACGGATCCCTCTCCTGAGGGGCCTGCAGAGTAGCACAGGTGATTTCAGAGAGAATCCATGGGATCCTGCATAACGAAGGGGCATGGGAAACCCAGAAGGGATGGCTGCCCCTAAGGGCTGGGAATGGGGCAGTGTTGGGGGTACATGCTGGGTGTGGGTCAGGGCTGGGGGGAGGGGCATAAAGGCCAGACATGAGGCATCACTGTGAAAGCTGGTGCATAAATCTCCAACAGGAGCAGAGGGCATTGGCTGGTCTAAGCAGTGTGACAAAGCCCGTGCCCTTTGAGAGCGGTGTTCAATTGTTTACAGGTGAGATAGGTGCGCTGCTGCCCACGCTGCTTCCTTCCTCTTCAACCCAAATGTCACGGATGAGCCTGTGAGCACCCCGCAGTAACCTCAAAAACACAGCGCTGAGCTACAGTGACAGGCCGCTGGATTCAGCAAGGAGGAGTCCTGCCGAAGCATGAGGCGTACTGGGCAGCTGCCAGGCACAACTTGGGCACCCCCATCTCCCCGCTTTCCCTTGGCATCAGGGGGTCCCGATGCCACTGCCCATCCTAACCTGGGCTACCCCATCTCCCAGTGCTGCTGGAGCTGCTCACCCATCACAGCCTATGCTCCATCTCCTCTCTATGATGGAGTCAGCAACGCCTTCCTTGGCCGACCCAGCCTGGGTTCTAGAGACTAGGTGTCCATCAACTTGGATAAAGCTCTCCCTCCCCCTTTGGTATCTGCTGCCCCAGGTTCTGTGCCTTTCATGTAGAGAGGGACACACTGAGCACGAGGGGTAGGATTTCCCCCAGCCTGCCGGCTGTATCCTCACCTGGCTCTGCAGACGTGTTCTCGTGACTGCCAGGTGTGCTGTTCCAGGGGACAGCAGGAGACGTCGTCTTTGCCTGGACTGGAACAAACATGCTGATGGTTAGACCTTTGGTGAGAACTTTGTCAGCCGGGCGACTGCTGAGATCCAGACAAGGAAAGCATCCCAAGCTAATGTCCAGGCCTAGGCAGAAGGGCTTCATCTAGGAGAAGCCTTCACAGACTCCGGTAGCTGATCTGAACCTGCGGCCTGTTCTCCAGGCTTCTCAGCTAGGCTGATGCTCTCAGGAGAACCGAGAATGCAACTGAGAGATCTAGGGGACCTCTGGCCAATGTAGGATTCCTAGCTGTGGAAACTGCTAAGGGCTCTCTGAGCCAGGAGCTGTGCTAGGGCAAGGAGTGAGATGTAAATGCCTGGGCAGAGGGCTGGACAGAGAGAATCAAGTGAGACAGAGTAGACTAACATGGGGGGCCAATCTGAGGGGATACCCCATTGTAGCACTTTAGCACAGACACTCGCTATACCCATGGGAGAGTCTGTCTCCTCATTGTAGTCAATTCACCTATCGGAGAGGCTGTAGCTAGGTCCATGAAATAATTCTCCTGTTGGGCTAGTGCTGCAGGGTTAGGTTGCCATAGCTACGTATTAAAAAAAAATCACAACCCTGAGAGATGTAGCCATGCTGATTCAGGTTTTCAGGCTGAGGCAGGTTTTCAGAAGCTGGTCATTTCTTCCTCATCCGGTGGGAAGGCCCCAATGCCACCCAAAAGTGTTGAGATCAAATGGTATTGTGCTTATCATCCATCTGATAAGCCCCACTTTGCTGGAGGCCTTGGAGGATACCTGAAGCCTTCAGGTGACCCAGGGGATTGGATCACCTGACATGCTCCTCAAATCCTCAGAACTACTCAGGGGCAGCCCGTCCATATAGGCAAACTAGGTGGTCACCTAGGGTGCCAAGTTAAATGGGGCGCCAAATGGTGGCGCGATATCATTGAGAGGTTTGGAGGTGGGGGCGCCAATTGCATGGTTTGCCTAGGGCGCCAGTTGCTGGCAGCTAGTCTAGGGCCACCCCTGGAACTACTGATAAGCTCCCATGCTCCACTACAGACACGGGCTGTCCTTGAGGGTAGTAACGGGAGTTTGGCTCATTAGGGCTCAATTCTGTGCATGTGGGGAAAAAGAAGAAAAAAAAAAAAGAACCAAGCAGCTGGGGCTCTGAGCTGCTAGGGAAGTCATGGCAGCCAAATGGCGCAGGCCAGGGTGGAGGGGATGTGACACAGTAATCAGCTCCCGGAAAGGACTCACCCACTAAGTATCTGTAGATGTGACTTCCCTGATAAATGCTCCAGCGAGCCCTGTACTGACACAGCCTGCACGTCGACGCCCCAGCCCTTGTGCTCTGGCGGCACCGCAGCGAGCTCTTGGGGCCAGAACCTCCCCCGATGTCACTCAACTTAGTGCCGATAGCTTCACCACAGCACTGACGATTCACACCAGCTGAGGACTCGGCCCAGCATCCCTTTCTCCTGTCTCTTTTGTCTCATAACACCCTCCAGCTGGGGCCACCTCCTCTTCTCTGATGCACCCAGCAGCCAAGCTCACCTTCAGATTCCTCTTCCCCGTCCTCTCCCTTCAGCCTTGTCCCCCACTCACCACCCTCTGCGCTCCTCTCATCGCCCTTTGACAGAGCTCCTGCTCCCATCCCATCAACAAGCCTGCTCCTGCGAATGAACAATGGGATTCCTCCCTGTATCAGCCCTAACAAGCCTTTGCCAGCGCACACCATTTGGCCCAGGCTGTGGGACCCTTTCTTCCCACTGGACCATTTCTCACGGCTAGGATGGGCCTCTGAAATCAATGTGCAGAACCAAAGGGGGCCTAGTAGGAATTTGCTTTGCTATCCCACCTCTTCATCCCCTCCAGCCCCCGATCTGACTGTTCATTTCTGTTCTAAGCTCTCAGGAGCCAGAATCATGCTGTGTCCATGAAGGGCCTTGCACCAAGTGAGGGCCTTGAGAAATAACAGCAACTGTCAACGCCTCCTCGTGAGAGTCCATTTTACGAAGATGCAACGACAGGCAAGTTCACAGAGTCTTTCCTGTTCAGACTCTTGCCTGATCTGCAGAGTGTCTCCTCGTATCTGGCTTTGCTGTCCTGCCTCTGACAGCGTCCCCCATGTCCTATTCATACATCACCTATTGACACATATCATCTAGCTCTGAGTAGGGGCCCTCTATGCTAGGGGAACACAAATACAAGTCAAAATATGAATAATTACAACATGGAGGAAGAGGTCTTCCTAACCGGTTCTGGGCAAACAATGAATTTTTTTGATTTGCTGGAAATTCTGAGAAATTAGAAGGTGGGGAGGTAGGTGTGCTGGAAATTCTGAGAAATTAGAAGGTGGGGAGGTGGGTGTGTGTGGGGGGGTGATTCAGTTTGAACCAAATATATATATATAAAAAATCTGAATATCAAGATGTTAACACAAACTATTTTTCATAGATTTCAAGGACGGGTTTGAGGGAAGGGGAGTGAACAGGCCAGCTGATGGGAGGAGGCAAAGGAGACAATTGCTCCAGAGCCCAGTGATTCAAAAGGGCCCTGGGAGGGAGTGAACAGGCCAGCTGATGGGAGGAGGCAAAGGAGACAATTGCGGGAGTGAACAGGCCAGCTGATGGGAGGGGGCAAAGGAGACAATTGCTCCAGGGCCCAGTGATTCAAAAGGGCCCTGTGGCTCCAGCTCTTTAAATGACCGCCAGACACCACCGTGGCACTGTGCTCCAGGAGGCTCTGAGAGCTGCCAGGAGGTGGGGTAGGTAAGGCGTGGCATGGTGTGCTCCGGGCAGCTTTGTGGGCTGGCCACCCTCAGCCTGGGCCTTTTCAGGAGCTTGGATCCAGACCTCCCCCCACCTTGTCCAGGGTGGGGGGTGTTGGCCCCACTGGGAGTGACTATAATTATCTAGTTTGACCTGCCATGACATAGACTTTTGACACAGACTAGAGAACTGCCCCAAAATCATTCCTAATGTTTGTTTTTTTTAACAAAAAACATCCAATCTTTATTCACACATTGTCTGTCTGGGGCAGAATGAAACATCTGGATCATTTAAAATGTTTTTTAAACATAAAATTAACAGAAAGTTTAAAGAAAGTCATTTCAAACAAAAACAAATTGAAACATTTTGATTTTCTCTTAATTTTTAAGGGTTTTTTCCCCTTCTAACTGAAAACCATTTGGTGAAAATAACATAGACTCATGGAATGTCTTGGGGTTATCAAATTTGCCTTGTAAACCGGAAAAAGATGCAGGTGAATAACTTCACCCAAAAGTGCTCCTGACCCCGGCTGGCCACCAACGTATGCCCTGGAACAGGAGGATGGAAACCCACTCTGTAGATCAATGGTTCCCAAACTTTTCGGCATCACACCCCCTTTTTGATTTTTGAGAAACCCTCATGCCCCGCCCCACAATAGCAGCATAAAAAAGGAACTGACCGGGGCTGAAAAACAAAAATAGCAGCAAAACTTAGGGGGGGAGGATTGATGTGGGGAGGTGGGGCTGGGTCACCTTGGTCCCTGGAGGATTGATGTGGGGAGGTGGGGCTGGGTCGCCTTGGTTCCCCCTGGAATTTCTTCACGCCCTCCCAAGGGGGCACACCCCCAAGTATGGGAACCCATGCTGGTGTAGATAATTTCATCACTGCAAAAGCTGTTCTGACAAACAATCCTTCCAATGAATTGGGGTTAGACTTGACTTGTTGGTACCATTTTAGAGGATATAAACTTGACAGAGACCAGGGAGAGGAAGTAGTGGGTGAGTAGAGGGTTTATAGGAAATAATTCATCTTCATGTTGACTGGAAATACAATTCGTGCTTTCCTGTTTGGCATCTACTGCTATTACCCTGAATCTCCAGGGAAGGACGTCTCCTTGCTTTTTAGCATTTGAATTATGTTCCTCTACCCCTTTCTTCTAGTCCAGTGCTCTGGCTCCCTGTTTGTTTAAGCATCAGGGCCAAAGCTCTCCTCCTTATTTCTAAATGGTACCTGCATTGTCTAGCTCCATTGTTCTGCTCTTTCTCTTCCCGATACCTCGTTGTTCTTTTTCACAGTCCCGGAGTTAGACCCTTCTCCCCTGCATCTACTACCAGCTTTCCTGTAACTCTCTACTGCATCCTCTTTTAGCTAAAAGACCATGCTTCCTCCGCCATACTAATGATAAAGGCTCTGAGAAATTGACCAGCATCCAAGACACTGAGAAACATTCAAAGGAACCCAGGCTGTGTTATTAAAGAAGACAAGACTGGAATATGGGAATAAGAACTCTCTTTTCTCCGACTAATCTGTCCGTTCTTCAGAGCATGACGTGTCTCTCAATGGTGGGTTTAAAAACAATGAGCTGTCTTGTAGCACCTTAGAGACTAACACATATATATTTACATAATATCATGAGCTTTTGTGGGCAAACCCCACTTCTTTAGATGAGAAGAGTGGAGAGAAAAGGGGGAGAACCCTCACAGTTTATAACAGAAAAAGAAGGGGAGGGGAGAAGTACCTGTCAATTGTAATGCCCGTGTTGAATGGCCATATATAAAACCTGCTTTCCTTATATTCAACACTCAATTGACATCAAAAGTTAAGTATGGGACATTTCCAGCCCACTCTTAGCTTCTACAATTGACAAGTACTCCCCCCTTCTTTTTCTGTTATAAATTGTGAGGGACCCCCCCTTTTCTCTCCACTTTTCTCATCTGAAGAAGGGGGTTTTGCCCCCAAAGCTCATGATACTAGAAATATATTTTTGTTAGTCTCTAAAGTGCTACAGGACTACTTGTTTTTTAAAGTTACAAACTAACATGGTTGCTCCTCTGAGACCTTTTCACTATAGGTTTGTGCCGCACCTCGCGCAACGGGGATACCGAACGAACACAAATACTAACACCACTGTATTACACACCTTCCTGGCATCATGTGGTGAGTTTCCTGGAAGCAAAGCGTGAACTGCATGCAATTGACAGCCCTGCATAAAACAAGAATCAATCCTGCACAAGTGTGGCTGAAGCCACTCCGGGGGAA